CACGCCTTCGACGCGATAACGAAAGGTCCGATTACTTAGGAAGTCTCGTATTATGCATACGAGACGATCGGGTACTCCGAACCCGTATAACTTGTATACGAGCCCGTTGTGCCAGACTTTATCGAAGGCCTTTGCCACGTCTAAGAAGAGTGCTCCGGTGTTGAGTCCGCGTTGGCGTTTGACTAGTATGTGCTCCGTGATGCGGTGCACTTGATGGGTACAAGAATGTTTGGCTCTAAAGCCAAACTGTTCAGGGATGGGGAGCCCTTTGGCGTCCATAAGGGATCTTAGTCGGGCTAATATTAGTCTTTCAAAGATCTTCCCAAATGTTTTGAGAAGACTTATTGGAGGATAAGAGGTTGGGAGGGTGCGCGGGTTTGTGGGGTTTGAGGAACCCTATTACGTCAGCTTCTTTCCACTCGGACGGGAAGAAGCCTCGGACGGTAAGTTAAGACTAGTATCTGAAGGATGCTAGTAGGGAGAAGTTTGGTCACCTTATTGGTGATACCATCTGAGCCAGGCGCTTTGCGTGGGCGCAGTTTGTTTATTGTTTCTGCGAGTTCCGAACACGTGACCGGGGGAACGGGATCGCGGAGTGGTTCCGATGCTTTCCTTTCGACCTCTTCGTTCACCTTACGGAGGTGATCGGGGTGGGTCGGAAGCAAGCTGGGGGAGCATTGGGCCTCTAGACTGTCAGCTAGGCATTCGGCTTTCTCTTCGTCCAGCATTGCTGGCGTTCCTATCGGGCGAACTAGTGGTGGCATGTTTGGAGTGGCAATACCCTTGAGGGATTTGGGAAGTTTCCAGAAGGCTTGGTGGGACGGTTTTATTGAGACTAGGGTGGAGTCCCACCGTTCGTTTCGTGAGTCTGCTATACGTGTTTTGACTTCACGTTGCAATTTACGTAGCAGTCTACGATTCGAGTCGGTGGGATATCTATCGTAGGCGCGTGTGGCCGCATTCTTGCGCCTCAGTAAGTCTTGTACATCGTCTGGCAGGGCCCAGCGATGGTCGTCCATCGCTGGAACCTGTCTCGAGCATTGCTCGACGACGGTGTTGACGTGACTCGTGAGGGCCCGAATTGCGGTCTCCGTGTCCTGTTTGTTGTTGAGTTGGTCGGGGATCGACTCTAATATTGAATTGGGCTCATTAAGTTTAGTTTTGACTCTATGCCAGCTAATGACTGTTTTGGTTTGGGGGGCGGCTATTGCTGAGGGCCCTAGCCGAAGGAGGACTGGTCGGTGATCAGAGTGAAGCTCGTGAATCACTTCCGGGTCGCGCATGGTCAGATTGATGTTTTTGACAACTGCAATATCAAGCACATCCGATGATTGTCCCTCTATATAAGGGAAGTGCGTATGTTCGACTGGGGCTACAACTTCAAAGTCGAGCCTGTCGGATAGCGAGTCGAGTGCGGTGCCTCGACTGTTGGTGCGTGTCGAGTTCCATCGGATATGCTTGCTGTTGAAGTCACCAGCTAATATGGTGGCTCCTCCTATGGAGAAGAGGGCCTCAAAATCGGATTTCAATATAGTTGCGGTTGGTCTGCAAGGGAGATAGACTGATACTAGGGTGATGGGAGAGTGGCCAGTTAGTGCCAGCTGACAGACGGAGGCCTCGAGATGCGTGAGAGCGGGCGTATCTACCGGTACGCAGTGGAGGGATTTTTTATAGTAAATTAGTGTGCCACCGCCCGGGGCGCCGGCACGGTCGTTTCTAACTATCCGGTAGTTGGGGATGTGCGCGGATCCCTTGTCGCGGGTTTCAGGAACGTTTCCTGTATTAGTAATACGTCGATTTGGTGATCGCGCAGAAAAATACGTAATTCGTCGCGTTGTTCTTTGAGCCCGTTCGCGTTGTAGAAAGCTACGTTGATCGATCGCGGTTTGACTCTGCCATTATTACGCGTGGCAGAGGGACTGATATTTTCGTTATTATTGCTTCTAGTTGTACTATCCATGTTCGGTTTAAACTGAGAGCGCAGCAACTATGTGCTGATACTGGTCTAGAAGGAGTAATCGCGAGCTGAAGTTGCCTTTGGCATACTGCTCGGCAAAGTACATTACCTCCGCCATGTCGACGGTTCGGAGGAGTTGACTTAGTGAGTCCAGGGGGTTGCCCCCGGCCGCTTTTGGTGGTGTTGGGATGAGCGCCGGTTGAGGAGCAGCTTTGGGTTCCGCTAGTGGCGGATTCGGTTTGGCCCAAGCGGGGGCCATGGGGTTCTGCCACGCGGGGCGAAGAGGAGGGAAAGAGGCGGCCGTTGGAATCGGCTGCCTTCTTGTTGCCTGAGGGGCGGGCCTAATGGCAGACCCATTAGGCCCGCCCCGCTTAGGTGCGTTCGGGCAGCCAAGATAGTTGGCTGTGTGTCCTTCCGACTGGCAGAGGACGCATGCGGGTGGACCGTAGTTGGCCAGAAGGGCCTTGTCGCTTGGTCTGGGACATTCCGGGGTGCCGTGGTCGCCTAGGCACTTTACGCACCTGGGCTTGGCAAAACAGTTACATAACTATTTCTAATGACTGTATTTTAGGATTCATCATAGTCGCTATAGCAGTTTTGGCTTCAATTTTGCACATTTATTTTGAAAAGACCGACACACAATTTTGTTATTAGTATAGGTAGATAGAAACAGCTATCATATCAATCAGCCAAATCAGTTAGTAATAAAAGATAATTAAATTAGCACGTTCGCGTTAACGAAACGTTTACCTTTCTTCGGTAGTCGAATCTATAAAGGTTTACGATGCAACCGGCATCTCCCATTAAAACTTTCTAAGCCGCCGTTATCGAATCGTAAAGTAAAGTATGCAATATGCTGTGATAACTAGGTGATGAATGTATAACACCAAAGCTACAGAGCTGCAATACGTATGTAGATTTCTAGATAGTTTCTTTAGCAAGAGTACAGGTTACAACTCCTTTTTTGTACTACATGCATTAGGAAATGTACAATTTTAAATAATGATATGATTATGAGTTTAGTTCATAATTATTAGATAGGTACGACTCAGTCTATCGCGACAACTCTTGGTGGTCCAGTTTATTTCAGTTTACAGAGACGACTGTTACTAATGGGCCACGGCCTAAGTACCACAACCTCACAGAAGACCGGCATGAAATGGTGCTGTTTTTCCTTTGCGTTTCCTCTGGTGAGTGAGGTAGTTCGGGCCCACTTTAACATAAGGTGGCAACGCATTTGCAACGCAACTAACCCAAAATGGGTGGTGTTGCAAATGTTAATGCGCGGCGGTTATCACTTAACATAAGATGAACCAGCTCCCTTCCCACATAAAAAAAAACTGATAAAATAAATTATTTATAAAAAAAAAACACTAACTTAGTGGTGAGAGCGTCTGGATGTGTTACCACGCGCAAGTTCGAATCATGGCATCAGCGAGAGAATTTTTCGAGTTCGAGATTTTAAGTGCCATCACCTAGCCTGCACTTAGCAGGAGATTAGCAATAAAAATAAAATTCGAAAAAGAACTATTTATGTTTTACACGCTAAGGACTTCCAACTACATAATGTTAATTGTTTTAAAGTGCAGTGAAAAAAAAAAACAGTATATGTATTTAATAATTTCTTGTATTTATTTTTTTAACTGCAGACTTGTTTAATCTACTATGTACTAGTTTGTGAGCACACTCTAAATCGGCCCAACCACTACATCAGGTTTGATAGACCACATCCAGGTTTGATAGATCCTTGCAAAAGAACACCGATTCCTCCCAAGGATGATTCGCGAGGCTATTGAAATTAAAAAACACCTTAATTTCAATAGAGAAGAGGGTTGGGTACTACCATCAGCTTGGGATCCTGTCATCAATAAAATTAAATCTAAGCCCAAACGAACCACTACTGCAAGACAAGATACAATTAGCTCCCTCTGCATAGATCGGACACAAAATTAATAATACAAAAACTGACGGTAGCCCGGGTGAACTATGACAATTAGACGTCTAACACCTCAGTCTGTCCCGTGACCATGAACGCTTTAAAGGGTTCGAAACGTCGGGAATTAAAATTAAAAATAAACGCGATAAATCCGTAAAATTAGTTTATTTATAGCATATGTATTTTTAAAGTATTGCGAAGGGACCACCTTGAAGTCACTTAAAAAACTGAGCATAAGGGGTCTAAGTCAATAATCAGTTCTGTAGCGGACCTGAATGGAGACGTGGAAACGCTTATTTTACGGTCGACACAGCTCGAGCGGCCGGCTAATAGCAGCCCGCGCCGTGTCCTCTGACATCTTCCGGCGACAGTGGCGCGAAATGACAGGGTTCCGCAGCGAAACCACAGGTTACCATCGATGGACTCGGCTTATTGCTGTAGGACCGTTCCGCCCCCGCCATATCTCACCGGACGCGTTTACGTTGGCTGCGTGCCTTAACTGCCACCCGTCTGTCTCCATTGTCGCGCGTTGATTTTCGTCCAGTTACGACACGGCACGTGTACATTAGGGTGGCCAGGCCCGCGGAAGTGTGTACCGTGGTAGGGCAACAGTGTTCCCTGTCGCACTAATGGGCAGGTCCGTCCGGGTAATTACCACTTTCCTCGCATAAAAAAACCGGCTGTAAGCGCTGTCGACTTCTGCCGATTGCGCCCCAGGTGCAGTGATGGGTAGCCGGGGCCAACTTTTCAGAATCGGCCCGGGGCAAGCCGCATTTGCAATGTGTGGTGTATGCCTTTACATCACCGCGTTACCAGCTCGGCCATTAATCGCTTTGAGATAACGTTTTGCATATCTGCCCAGCTTATCTCGATTTTTTTGGCTTAATGAGCCCCACTGTTGGTGCTTTATCGGGCCTTTACAGTTACGCCGGAGTTGGGGTGGCCGGGCGCTCGGGGCTTTGAGATAACGTTTTGCACCTCGGGCCCATCTTATCCTGATATATCTATTAATCAACGAATTTTTTTCAATACAAGTTTGTATTATTAAGACACAATGGGACAAAAATTATGTTTGTTAGATCAAAGTCACTCGTTTTTTTATGTGAAATGGTAGCAAGCGAGCCGGTGGGTCACCTGATGTTAAGTGATAACCGCCGTGATAATCCGTAGTGTTGCAGACGCGTTGCTTTTACATTTATATAAGTTACAAGCATTTATACAAAGGATGGAACTTATTATACATAAAGGGTGTACATTAGACAATGGAAACGCGCCGTCTAAACAAAAAGGCGTTGGCAACATTGCGGCACACGACCCATGACTCCCGCGTACCACTTACATGCTGACATCGGCCGTTTTGTTCGGTTGACATTGCTCGAATGACCGGTTACTAACAAGCTTAGGATGCCCGCTCTTGTACTTTTCTAAAGTAAACTAAATAGAATTAATTGAATTAATATATATAATAATATATTCTAATTTTTATGTCAGTAGAGAAAGACATGTATTTACAGGCGCCCATTTTTTTTTTCATTTAAAAAATAAAAATAGCTTAACTAACTAACTACTATAAAAGTTGAGTCCTCAAAGACATGTTTACGGGGACGATACCGGGGAGCGAAGCAAAGTTTAATATTAATGTCTCTTTAAAAACTTTAAAAGTAATAATATGTAAAACTATCAATTGGCAGTATGTTTGGATTCAATGATTTTAATTTGTTTTAAGGCAAAGATGAAAAGGGACCGATTAGGTTATACTAAGCAATTCACATCGGCCTGTTCCAATACCAGTTTATTAAATATACCTACGATTTTTTTTATAGCGCTAACACTCAAAACAAAACCTTTCAATCATAAACACTAGAATATATTCACTACTCATTATCGTAATAACCATTCAATGACTAGTTACATATCTTGAAAAATAAAATTTTTTCACTATATTTAGTGTCACTTATTTCACTGTTTATTATCGTGTCAAACATCAGGCACCAGTCAGTTTACAATTTTAAGTACCTCAAAAGGCATACAATAGTAACTCCACATTTTTCAAAATTATTTTTCTTACACCATTAAAATCGCAAGAAAAAAATGTTCACAATAGTCTAAAGCGTTAAGTCCTACGACGCCTACAATCAATAAAATATCCAATCACGCATTTTTTGCCTCTCCGGTGAAATTTGTGTTTTGGCATATAATGCTGTTTACCTTTGAGGTACAGAATTTTGTTTTAGTTTTAAACAGATTTATTCTCGTATGAACGTAACATTCACTTAAAATGAGATACAGTGATTACTTAAATAAAAATAATATGTTTCTCGCCATTGGCACTTGAGATTAGGTTAAATATTGCTTATGTTTATTCTTATATTTATGCTATTTCAGTCTTTCAAATAATATTGGTTTCTGATAGTTTATTTTTTAATATATATGGCGTACTTGGAAGCGTACCTGGCTCCAGCGCCATAGGGTGTGGGTTCGACCCCCGCTACTGGATAAAATAAATAAGTGTGATGAACATAGTGTTTTTCTAGTGTCTGGGTGTTTATATATGTATAATATGGATTTATTACAAAGAAAAGTATGTTAAAGTGTGTTTATCGGTTATCTAGTACCCATAGTACAAGCGTTACTTGGTTTGGGACTAGAGAACGTTGTGTAAAAAATGTGTCCTAAAATATGTATATTATTCATTTATTTATTTATAATCGCAATATATTCCATAATTTCGATGTAATATATTTTGCGAGACACCCGTGCACCCGTCAATAGGTCATTGACCTTGAGCCATTCGGCAGTTCAATAGCGATTCCGTTCCCGCGCGTGCACCGTTTCTCCGCAGCGTCGACGGGCGCTTTCCGCGGGGAAAAGCGACGCAAAAACTCGGACGGAAGCCCGCCACGCAGCGGGCCGATGGCGGGCCGACGACGGGACGACAACGGGACGACAACGGGCCTTGAGCCGTAATGACGGCCTACGCCGGATGCGCGGCAAAAACGCGACCGGGAAGAAAGTGCCCGTTCGTGGCACGAGCCAACTGGCCCGTCGACGTTGGTTCTTAAGTGCGCTTTTTCTGAGCTGTATAAATTGTTGGTATCCTAGCTTCAATTAGTCCGTTTCTTCTAGTAATAACACGTCCGATGTCACGTTCTACGTTTTTTAATCGATTCGATATTGTTTCGTTACACGTTAAATGTATCCGTATTCTTTACACTCTTTCACATTCTTACACAATATATATTAGTAGGTCATAGTTAAAAGTGTAGTCGATTTAGTTAACTAATTTGATTTATTGCTTTGCTTGTGATAGTCGTCATATACCTAATACCGTTTTGCAAAGTCGCCCGGATTATAAGTAAATGTTTTATAAATCGCGGTTTCATAAATTTAAGTTAAATTTTACTGAAGTATTAAGCTGTCTGCGAGAACACACAATTTTCGGATGGAGTAGTATGAGATTCGAATTGTAATCTTTGTTTTGTCTATTTGTCAGAGAGATAGGGTCAAGTTTTCTACTGCAATCATATAACCTCAATCTGACATTAATTGCTTTAGTCTTGTATCCTTTTAAGAACTTTCTTCGCAATTCCTGTTATTGATTATAGAATTCGTCTTTTCATTACAAAAAACGGAGTTGGCAAATACTACTTCTTGATTTACATAAGATATGATTGATGCCTTTAAGGATTGTTCAGTGACAAGGAATCGTTTAGATCTTTGTAGAATCAATAATGTTATTTAAGATTTTTCGTTATCGTACCACGTTATCACTTAATTAATATTTAATACTTTACTCGGGCCTAAGTACATTTCTGGTACATCGTTCCGAACGCGTAATATCCATCGCGTATTAATTGCTATACAATGGTATCTCCTTTACCGATGTGTTTTCTAAACGGTGGTCAGTCATATCACTGTGGCTATCTACACTTCGAAGACCTTATCTATGTTCAAACGGTGACAAGTATATTTTCAAACTTAAAGAATTCCGGTACAATATTTGAGGGTAAAATACGTGAAATTTCAGGTATGGCTATTATTATGCCATCTTTACAAAAGCAAAGCCAAAGTAATTGTTATTTTATCAGACAGTGACTCATTTCGTCGATTGGTTTCGTAACTTTTTTATTAAATCCAATTGCTAATTGATCGCTGTTTAACCTTCACGGTCTTAATTAGATAAAATCGGTTAGTTAGTTAGGTTCATTTTCTAATATAGCCGTAATTACGGATTTAGTTTGGTAACGGTAGGTACTTGATTGTAATTATACGTTTGATGCTTAAGAAAAGGTGCAGATAATTCTAAGAGTTATGAAACGATACGATGAATTATCTCTGAGCTAGATATGATAATTCTGCAAGGATCAATAATTCTTCTGTGCCGAATTACTTTTTTAATTTACTATCCGTATAATTATGGCCCAGTTGATAAGCTGTCACTGGGTGTCATGGGTTTGATTTCCACACGGGTCAAGTATTTGTGTCATCCACAGGTAGTTGTTTCGAATATATATGTTTGTGCCCAAGGAGTTTGAAAATAATTTACATCATAATTCACATGTTAAATCGACTATGCTTAGGTGGGATAGTAAGAAAGTTGAAGTATCCAGGACAAAACAATGCTATAAAGGATGATACAGTAACTAAAAAGTGACGTAGGGCTGTAGAAAACATTTGAAGGTAGGTTGAATTATTTGTCTGCTGTAAAGGAGATAACAATACAAGCGCCAAGCATTGCTTAAGCATCTGAGCGAATCCAGTTTTTTCTAATTTGAATTATTTCTATTATCTAAATATATCTATCTGTTGACTGACAATACGAGTAGCATAGTACCTACAGATTTTTGATTGACTTTTTCAGTTTACACGAATACTACACATGTTAAATAAAACTAATTTTATAGATTATTTCGACAAAATCCATTAAATTACTTTTTTTTAAATCATGCTACCACTTTAACGTTACGTTTATCTAATGGCACGATACTGTAACTTCGTAATAAATTCCCAATTAAAAGATCTAGAATGGGGATCTACCAAAAGTTGGCAGACGACATCTACAATTTTACTTCTCATTAACATTTTTCTGTTCTCCCATCAAATGATTCGGATGAAATTGACAAAGTACTCAGTCTGCTGTCTGTTGTAGGATACCTAAGTTCTATAGGCTTCATTGATGACGATAATATAATGAAATGGATTAAGCATGGTTGAATAAAAAATATGAAGTTACACGCCAAAAATAAGCAAAACGGTAAATCGGTGACAGCTCAACTACGTGCTTTCAAGTTCGTAAGTATCTATTCCGATTTCAAATTCAAAATGGCCAGCTACCGAGAACTTTAATCTATTATACCGCCATAAATGGCGCTAAACGGATTATGTTATAGTCTGTGGTTTAAGCTCACAAGCTTAGTACGTAAACTGTAACATTTATTAATAAATTATGGTGGATACCCTTTTAAGTGTACGTCATATATTTAGTGTTTAAGGTGTGCACGGATATTATTCGTTGCTCCTGTAAAAAATAAACAAACCTTAGTAAAGTTTCACAGCGAAATAAAGTATGATTTAATAGTCTACGTATTATATGCATATTATTACCAAGCTTCGCAAAAAATAAGTATAAAAAAAAAGAATAATCGGATACTGTGTGTATAGCGTTCGGACACGGTAATTCTTTTCATGACTTTAAAATCGTGTAGTTTTATAATTTAGCTAACGATAAATTGATGGGAATAATTTTGATAGAACTTGTATTTGATATTTGTAAAATACATTTCGGATAGATTTGCGTTATTTCTTTTTAAAAAAGCCAAATTCAACTCTGTTCCATTAAAATATTATATAAAATATATATACATACAAGACATCTACAACTAACATAATATGTGGTTGTAATAAGTTTGGAGAAATGATGTTAAAAACACACGTAAATGTTTTAGTGTAATCAAACTAGGGTGAACTATGATCTTAAACATTTGTACTAAAAATACTACTTGTTCATTAAAATTTAGAAGTTTTTCGATTTCTTTTTTATAATAAAACCATTGACTTACGTTGGCATACAAACGTTATAAAAACCGTTGTAAAAAGTCGGGAAGCAACTGTATAAAAGGGGTTAGAGGATCTAATTAATAATTCCTCGTTATAAGAAAAATAACTAAAAAACTTTGAGAATCTAAGAGTAATATTCCACGCAAAAGTAATAAACGTGATAAAAAGGATGTCGACGAAAATCACATGTCCTCGTAATTCGCTCATTTTTATCGCATTTCAGTGTTAATGTAAAGAAAGTATAATATATAATAAATTCACCTACATACAACAAAACAAACTGCCTTAGGCAATTGTGCGTATTATCAATTGCGTATTGTCTTTAGCTTTAAGACAGTTTTGATTAAGATAGTGGCTTATTATAATTTAACCGCTCCAATGAATCAATTAAATTTAATAAGATAACGACAAACATTTTCAGTACTTGTAAGGCTCCGGCCAGACTGGTTAGAACGAAGTTTAACTAAAACATTGCAAAACATCAATATGAAGTCATAAATCTTTTTTTTTTTCATTTTAGTGCTTCATACAGATATGCCGTATATATAAGTTGTGATGTCTCAAAGCTGTATTGAAGGAAGTCATTCAAGTGACAGAAGTTAGAGTATTTTAAGTTGTTCTATACTAATGGCGGATCGTGACGAAATAACATAGAAAATAAAAATAATGTAGAAGGCGCCACTTTTGACTGCTTGGATGACGATGATAACATTTTTATTGTTTCTAACGACTTATAGAACTAACAAAGATATCTAGCGCTACTCTTCTAATAATAATAATGTAATAATAAAACATCATTATTCACATAGACATAGCTTGCGCGTTCTTATGAAACGTCGAAATTTTACAAGGAAATTAATATGTTCGTAAGTTATCACCGGTTCGGAAAGCAGTTTCTGTTGAGAAGTTTCTGTTAAAAAAATGATTAAAAACTTCATGATTAAAAACCCTAATAGATATTTGTATTTACTACTAATCTCCGTTTTATATTGTTACTAGCTGCTACCCGCGACTACGACTGCGTAGAATAGGCTGAAGGCGCAACATTCAGACAGAAAGACAGTTATACATATAACATGTATATAAATTATAGCCTAAGTCTTATTCTGATGTATAAGCTACATTATTGTAAAGTTTCATTAAAATCCATTCGGGAGTATTTGCGTGAAAGAGTAAAAAACATCCATCCATACATACAAACTTTCGCGTTTATAATATTAGTAAGGATTGTTACAGTTTTTAAGGATTATCAATTTTTATAGTGCTATTCTGGACATAAGATTTTTTTTTTTGTAGAAATATATTTTCACTCCTGTGAGGCATTGAACCTGCGTCCTCTACTCGTGTTTTATTACATTTTTAAACAATGTTTGGCGTAAAGAATACAGACTTTATTAAAATGTAAGTTATAACTGAAGGCACTGAACTGAATCGTTATGAAACACCATCCGTCTCAATAGTTAAAAGGCCGTTTTATTAATTATTGAGTAAGTTACTAGATGCCTTGATGTAAACAAAACAGGTAGATAATAGGGAATTACGCACAGATAAAACTATGTAAAAAATATAAACACTAGTTTGAATAGATAACAGATACAAGAAAAATAATTTTTAAGACATTTGAAATTAAAACTAACTATTGTTTAATCAGCAATGATACTCGGAGATTTCGCCTCTTCTTGTTCAAGACTGTTTAGTATTTTCCGAGATAACCCAATTTATATAGCGTGTCGTTACCATCGCAACAATAAATGAACACACGTCTAACGCTACTTGTCAATAATCATAAAAAAATGTTAACGTTAAACAGAACCCATAATTAAAAAAAAATATTTTTCAAACAAAGTAATTAAGTAAAAAATAAACAAAATTTGTAACATCCTATATAACTTGCGCCACAGCATCGT